TGACTTCGATCCTCTTCCCGTGTGAGGACCGGGCAACGCTCAACAATTTGAAAATAAATGTCGTTCGAAGAAACAACAAAGGGAGAATTCGGAGAGAATGGAAGAAGGCCAAGGCAGGAAGAGGGGTGGGAGGAGGTGAAAAAAAGAAGGAGGAAAAGGGAAAAGGGCAGAGGTGAAGTGAGCAAGCTCATTCTTAAATGGGAGTGTATAGAGACCCGGTAACCAGGAACAATACTCATGTAGTATACAGACCCGGTAGGGGAACTCTTTTTTGTGATTTCGGAAAGTTTCAGGCTCTTGGCTCAGGGTAACCTATGTTCTTCTAGATCTATGGCCTAGGTCTAGATCTAGACAGACAGACATAATAAATCATAGATCTTGTTTCGAAGCCTAGATCTAAATGAAAATTGTGAAAGTCTTTTCGATGAACGATCCTTTTTTCTCCCTTATGGAGTTGGAGGAATCAATATAAGACAATTTGAAGAAAAGAACAATATCATAATATCAACCGAGCAGTCACCCTCTCTATTTCTCTGCCTCTCTCTCTCTCCTCTGTGTATCGCCCGCCTTCTCTTTCTCTTTGTCTCTCGACTGCCTTTCTTTCTCCCTCACCTACTTTCACACTATCTTTCTCTCATTCCCTCCTGTCTACTGGGGCACGTGATTTTATCACGCTAGCACTTCCCCCTGTTCTCTACCCCGTTCTCTCAGATCTCTCTCTCTCTCTCTCTCCCTCTCTCTCTCTCTCTCTCTCTCTCTCACACACACACATATACACACACAGTGACACTCTACCGGTTCTGGGCTCTGAAACTTTCCGAAATCACAAAAGATTTCCCCAACCCTGTCTGTATACTTCGTGACTTTGTTCCCGGTTATACCTGGTCTGTATACACTTCGTTCTTTTGCAAAATATTTAATATATAAATATATCACGTCATTTCACGGCGCCGTTCATATCAGTTTGGGAAACTAGACGACTTTTCCTCAGTCACTCATTAAGTCATTAATAGTGGGGTTAAAAATACAGAGGTAGATCTAGATCTACAATCATCTTTAAAAAATATAAACCACTATCAGTTTTGGACAAGAGGGAAATGAGGTGGACCAGAGTTGGGGAAGGTCCTGAGTAGCCTAATCAGTGATCGGCATTTTGTTTCACTTGATTTGACGTGAGATAATAAGCTTATCTCGGATAGATTGAAGAATACCGGACCAGCGGACTGACTTTGCCTCTATATGAAGTATATGTCTCAACCTTAGGAATTTATGATTTTCTTCAGTTTTTAATATCTCTCAATGGAGAATCTCGGACCGGTAGATCTATTCATTAAAAATTTGTCAGGGGGGAGACCCCCCCCCCCCCCCCCCCCCATCTTCCACCCCAACCATCCGCCACACCCACCCCACATTCTCGCGCATATAATGTATACGAGTGGTCCAGTATTCTTCAATCTTCCCCTAATCTCAAAGACGTTATAAACAAAGGAAAGGCCTAAAGAACCTCTTTTACTAATCCACATAACTGACATGAACATGAAGGGAAAAGTGTAACCAGCAGCCATAAAAGTAAGTTATATTATGTCATACAAACTGAAACATGATCTTGTTTTCTATCTACGGACTCTTTCTCTCTCTTTCTATATAACCGCTCCAAGTGCCAACAACAGTGTTTTGCTTCTGAACTCTAGATCTAGATCTAGATCTAGATCTAGATCTTAAGTCTATAGCTATAGCTATTCTTTACCACCTTCCATAGTATGGCTAGGGCACAAAGCCTTAGACTTGGTTAATTGTCTTTACCATTGTCTTGAAGTACTCACATGAGCAAGGTTTGGCTTATCAGCGATAACCTAGATTACTTCTAAGTCACTCGTCAAATACCTCAGCCTCAGTCATTGTCACGAGCTTCCACTTGATAAATACACCGCCATCTTTCGTGGAACACACAAGGACTGTGTTTATTATGGTTTCATTCAACACAGACCTGCCCCCCTGTGAACTCTGACCTTTGAACCAATCCCGCACTCGAAAAGGTCAAAGAGGCGGTGTTTGCAGTTGATTTGCTTCCCCGTTGTATTTTATCTTAATTAATTTTATTATTAAAAAAAACATTTTTTACCCTTTTCAAACTGGATTCAGTGGCGGTTGTAAAGTATGAAACGTCCTTTTTCTCTTGAAATAAATTTGTGAAAGAGAGGAAAGGTAAAAGGAAATTGTTTGTGTGTTTGTTTGTTTGTGTGTTTGTTTGTTTGTTTGTTTGTTTGTTTGTTTTGTTTATTTGTTTGTTTGTTTGTTTGTTTGTTTGTT